TTCGTCAGTTCCAACTTTCGTACCTCTTTCTTCCGTGTCATGGAGGGCACTTCAGACAAAACAGAGTGCCCAATACTTAACAGTATTAAATTGACCATAAACCGAAAGCGCAGCACATTATCACTCGTTGCTTAGAGCGAAATGACTATCATTATCATGACTATCATTATCACTATCATTTGTCATCAATGACATCATCATCACTATATCAATATCATAAATGACTATCATTATCACTATACCATTTGTGGCGTAACTGGAAATTGCCGTTTGTGGCAGTCATCCAACAGTATCCGGTTATCTACTGCTCATGTATTTGTCAATCAACAGACAGTGGCATTTCAGACGGTGCTAGAACGCGCCTTCATTCGACCCAACCAGCTAATACGCTATTGCATCCATGCAAGTGTTCAAATTGCATGAAGTTATGGCCTATTCAAATGCTACCCCTTAAACAACTAAAACCATATACGCTGCGTAAATCCGATAAAATGAAATAGCGTTATATCGTTACTAGCGGAATTGAGAACCGCCTTTGATGACAATCATTTCTGAACGTAATGGTTATCTTTCATTTCTATTGCTACATTAGTTCTAATCGCTTTGAAAGAACATTAGAAAACAGAAGATTTAAGGAGTACAAATGAGGACACCGTAAATAATACAACTTCTACTTTTCTGTCAGCAAAACCATACAGCGACTAAATTATTGGATCATATGACAGAACGAATTATGATAGAGTTCGTACCTCCTTACAACTGAGTTTGCCGATAACTCTTAAGGCTGTTCACGAACTCTAATCGACAGACAAAGGACAGCGTGCTTAGCGCAGGTGACAAAGAATCTTTTTCCTTTAAAGCACATCATCCTATTAATAGGACACTAATATTCTATAAAGAAAGATTATGAACTTCTTTACTTATTAATCCTAAAGAACAGTTTGGCAAGATCTTTCCAGCATGCCGTTTGCCTTTAAATCCGTGCCGTCAGAGTGAGTTGTCC